GTTTCCAATCAATAATCCGACAACCCATGTACTGTTGGCCCTTAAACTTGGTAGTTGCATTGGACTTGACCAGTAGATGACCCCTAAAGATTTTGGGGTCAGGGGAACAAAGGTCAAGGTTGCATTGACCTTGTATTTCAAAATTGTTTTCTATCAATAACTGGACAACCCATGGACCCTTGACCTTCAAGCTTTACAGATGCTTTGCTTTTGGTCATAAGCTGACCTCAATGGATTTTTTTGGCGTTCAGAGGTCAAGATCACATTGACCTTATAGGTAACAACGCTTTCTGATCAATATCCAAACTCATGGGCGCTTTACCTTCAAACTTCACAGGTGCATTGGTCTTGGCCAGTAAATAACCCCTATTGATTTAGGGTCAAAGGTCCATGTCATATTGACCTTGTATGTAAAGACTGTTTCTGACCAATAACTCAACAACTCAAGTTGCCTTGGTTGATATTTTTTTATTATCCCCCGCCGATGGAATCGGGAGGGGGATATAGTTTTGGCGTTGTCCGTCCGTCCGAATTTCGTTTCCGGAGTAGTTCTCTGCAACTACTGGCTGGAATTCAACGAAACTTTATGGATATCATCAATATCAAGAGGAGATGCGCATATCGTCGGCTTGTTCCGGTCAAACCCTTTAACTCAGAGTTATGGCCCTTGATTAGTTATGTAGTATGCATATAGAGTAAAAATCGTTTCCGCACTACTTCTCTGCAACTACTGGCTGGAATTCAACGAAACTTTATGGGAACCTTCAATACCAAGAGGAGATGTGCATATCGTCGGCTTGTTCCAGTCAGACACTTTAACTCAGAGTTATGGCCCTTGATTAGTTATGCAGTATCCATATAGAAAAATATTTGTTTCCTCGCTACTTCTCTGCTACTACTGGCTGGAATTCGATGAAACTTTATGGGATACTAAGAGGAGATGTGCATATAGTCGCCTTGTTCCAGTCAGATACTTATAACTCAGATTTATGGCCCTTGATTAGTTATGTAGTATGCATATAATTATCTCATTGGCATTTCCAGATTTTACTATTTAACACAAAGTTATGGCTCTGTTATTGCCCTGAATATTTATCAAGTGCAAAGAATATTACTGTTTATGCCATGATTAATATATAAATAAGCCTTATGTCTTCAGTTGTTGTGTAAGTAATAACCAGTACTCGGCGGGGGATATAAATTCAACTAATTTGCTTGTTAAACTCAAAATCCTTTTGGTATACACATTTCAAGATCTTATGTAATATAAGAACTTGGCTGTCATTAATGAGGCCTACATGATTCATAAAATTTATGCATATATTATTTGGTATGATTTGAAATAACTTTGTCATAAAATTGCTGCACACAACTTTTGTGGTCACAATTACCTAGTGACTAAGTCATGACCAGTAATTAACCCTTATTGATTTTTTGGTCACTAGGTAAAAAGTCAGTCATAATAAACTGATCACATGACTAATTTGCTGCCGATAGGGGGCATACATGTTTCACAAACATATCTTGTTTTGATATAATTTGACCCACATTCTTGGTTTTTGACATACAGTCTTGAAATTTGGAGTAGGGGTGTAATTTTTTATGCTGAATTGAATTTTGATATCAGCTGGCCTATATTTTACAATGTTTTACCTTTTGTCTTTTTTTAGGTACAGTTATGTTACCATATAGAATGTATAAAAAATTTGTTGTCCCAAACTGTAAACTTTAAACATCTACACCTTACATATTTTGCATGTGACATTTTGTGTATTCATTCAAAATAGTTATAAAACAAGAGCACCGCTAGACGGAGCATTATATGCCCGGAAGTGTTTTTTGTGTTGCCTTTACGGAGTATAGGGATCACTTCTCCGTCGTACAAACCCAGAGGTACTTGTGTGACTTGGAGAACAATGGGTAACAGTAAATTCTCTTTGATCCTATTCATTCCGTTTTTACTTGTGTGTCTTTTTTAAGCCTTGTGTGACTAAAAATGGCTAAAAAGATCAAAGGAAAAGTCACATAAATACCATTTCGTAAGTACGTCGGTCTGTCTGTCTGTCACAAAACTTGTCTGGACTACACCTCATAAACTATTGGTGCAATTTCATCCAAACTTTACAGGAATGATCATTACCAATTCTAGTTGTGCATTTTGTCAGCATTTTCAGGTTAAATGATTTTTGTGCGAGTTATGGCCCTTTAATAATTTTTATTATACCCCAAAACGAAGTTTGGGGGTGTATATAGGAGTCATCTGGTGGTTGGTTGGACGGTCGTTTCAGTGGTCCGTTGCATTTCCCTTGTCTGGAGCATAACTTGAATACAAATGGTTGGAATTAAATACAACTTCATAAATGATCAAGCACATTGAGAGGAAGTGCAGTGCACAAGAACCATAACTTCATCTTGACTAATTACAGAGTTATTGCCTTTTGTTACTTTTCCTTGTCCGGAGCATAACTTGAAAACTACTGGTTGGAATTCAAAATAACTTCTTACAATGGTCAAGCACAATAAGAGGAAGTGCAGGGCACAAGAACCTTAACTTTATCTAAAGTAATTACAGAGTTAGCCCTTTGTTACCTTTCTATTTATTTTTTTGCCCCGGACCATAACTTGAAGACTAATGGTTGGAATTCAATACATCTTCATACAATGATCAAGCACATTGAGAGTAAGTGCAATGCACAAGAACAATAACTCCATCTTGACTAATGAGTTATTGCCCTTTGTTACTTTTCCTTGTCCGGAGCATAACTTGAAAACTACTAGTTGGAATTCAATACAACTTCATACAATCATCAAGCACATTAAGAGGAAGAAGTGCAGTGCACAAGAACCATAACTCCATTTTGTAAAATTACAGAGTATTCCCCGTTGGTACTTTTCCTCGTCTGGAGCATAACTTGAAAAATACCGGTTTGAATTCAAAACAATGTTATACAATGGTCAAGCACAATAAGAGGAAATGCAGAACACAAGAACCATAACTCTGTCCAGAGTAATTATTGAGTTATTGTCCTTTGTTACTTTTCCATTGTTTTTTCTTGTCCAGAGCATAACTTGAAAACTACTAATTGGAATTCAATACAATTTCATACACCAGTCTAAAAAAAAAGCGCAGTGTTTAGAAACCATAATTTTTTCTTGACTCATTTAAGAGTTTTTGCCCTTTGTTACTTTTTAGGGCATATAATTAATGTAGTCAATATAAGTGATCATCCTATGAAGTTTGACAGTTGTAAAACTATTAACAATATTAAGGTCATTTGATACTGACCTCTGACCTTGTGACACCAATATAGATATGGATCTTTTATTCAATATAGGCAAAGTTTGACACTGTTAGCTAAATGGAACTTGTGTTATGCTCCAGAAAGCACAATTTTTAAGTGTAAAGGTCATTGTAACCCTGACCTTATGACCCTAAAATAAATAGGGGTCATGTTTTGGACATGCCTTTTCATCCTATAAAATTTTACAGCTGTATGTTGATTAATACTTAAGTTATTGAGCGAAAACTGTTTTCAGTTTTAAGGTAATAGTGACCTTGACCTTTCACCTTGTGATACAAAAAGTAATAGGGTCTTCTACTCAATATTGACAATAATACTAAGAAGTTTGAATATTGTGGGCCAAATGGAACTTAAGTTATGCTCCGGAAACCAAATTGCTAACGGACGGGCAGATGGACGGACAGACGTCCGGGTATATAAAATAATATGCCCGAAAGTATTAAGTTATTGAGCGGAAACTGTTTTCAGTTTTAAGGTAATAGTGATGTTGACCTTTGACCTTGTGACCCCAAAATCAATAGGGGTCGTCTACCCAATATGGACAATCATCCTATGAAGTTTGAACATTGTGGGTCAAATGGAACTTAAGTTATGCTCCGGAAACCAAATTGCAAACAGACAGACTGACATCCGACCAAATAGGGATAAAAGCCCTTTCTATTGTTATTTTCTTTTGTTTAATAGAGGGCCATGGCCTCTTATTGTTACGAAATGAATTCTATGGTTTTCTTTGTGTTCTGTTTACAGTTAAATGGCCCCCTATCCCTATCCGGTAGTACAGACAGAAGGGCGGACACCAGAGGGTATAACATAATATGCTTTCAGGCATATAAAATTGTCCAATCATAATTAATCCTGCTTTAGTGGTTTTTATTCTGCATTTATTCTACATAGTCTCATAGGAACACACTTGCAGTCTCATAGGAACACACTTGCAACCTAGATATTTTTAACAAAGCCTTTCGAAAATATTAGGGCAAACTATTTCAATTTATATAGTGAATAATGAAATGATGGGTTAGATGAGTGATCTAGGTCTATCTTAGGGCCCTATTGTTTATTATGGAAAAAAAACTTTAAAGTGTACTAGAGGGGCAAGTTAAAGTTGAGCTGAACTTGCCAAAAGAACTGGACTTGCCTTTCAGAAAGTTCATTTGAAAAATAATTTCCAACACTGAAAAGCAGTTGTTTCTGGTGAGCGAGTCAGGGCCATCATGGCCCTCTTGATCATGGCCCTCTTGTTAAATTTGTCTGTTTTAAATAAAAAGTTGAGCTACTATGATCGCTGTGTCATTTTTGTCATGGTAGGTCATTGTTCAAACATTGGTATCAACAAAAAAAACAACTTAGAATACTTGCTTATCATTTACAAGGTGTAGTTGTTAGACAATGGGCATTTTTTTGGAGTAACAGTTACCCCCCTTTTTAATTGGCAAGGAGGTGCACTGAGGGTTTTTTTTGGAAGCAGCGGATTATTCTGAGGCATTCTGGATAAAAAGATGTTACAACATCAAATTGCACATCTATTAATTTATTCAATTTATGAGGGCTGAATGAATGGATGACCTGGTATTTAAAATGCAGAATATTTATACATAATTTCAATATCAAAAGTTCATACAAAAAGTATATGCAGTCTTAAGCAAACAAAAATTGTAATAAAAATAATTTGAAATTCACATATCCCTTTAATTTCAGCGCAGATGATGAAAATACTGTACAGAGCTTGAAAAAATGATTATGACTAGAAGAACTTATCAATGATTTACAAGTTGAAACAGTATTTATACATCAGTACACCGGACTACATTGTATATGAACAAGATAATACAGAAGATATTTCTGCAGTATACTGATACACAAACATTGATGTTGGACTCAAATACAATACAGTGGCTTAAAAACTGTCATTAGTGTTACTTAGAATAAACTACAATTTAGGCTTAAAGGTTTCAAGAGCTAGCAGTGACTTTAGTAGGTCTATGCTGCCATTAACATGTAGTTGTCAGTAGAATGACAAGTCTTCTTGCTATTACATGCTCAATTTCAATATATTAACCAGATATTGAACAAAGAAAAATAACTCTGTCATTAAGTGAGTATCAAAATTCAGTCTTTGTTTAAGTACATTGTGTATGTTATATATTTAGTTATATTACAGTCTGTAAGTACATTTTATATCCATTCTATATTTTCTCACTCCTTGAAGGGTTTCATATTTTCTTTAAAAAAAAAAGAAATTTTACATCCAGTTGTATAAAGCCCCACCTATGTGGCACTTTTGTCTCACATGTGATGCAGAATTCTAGCATTTATTGTCCCACATATGTGATGCAGCATTCTGGCATTTATTGTCCCACATATGCAAAGCACCATTCTGGCATTTATTGTCCCACATATGTGATGCAGCATTCTGGCATTTATTGATGCAGCATTCATGCATGTACTGTCCCACATATGTGATGCAATATTCATGTATTTAAAAAAAAGATCTTATGAAATGTTACACACTAATTGATATGAGATTTTGTATTCTATTGATTTTATTTTTCTTTCAGTTTTACATGTATCAGGTCATGATCTGTGGTTTTCAGTACATTCTTAATTGATTAGGAATAATTGAGTATATGCAGTAATGCAAATAATGCAGGAATTATGCAATAGTTCTGCAGAATCATGCAATTCTATGGCCAGAATGAGCACTAGGTTACATAATGAACAGGTAGTAGCTTGATTACACACCAGCTTTACACACCTGGTATAAACTTGTCATGCTTACAGCCATTCATAGAAATAACAAGCAAATCAAATTGATTCTGATATATTTTATTTGAGCAAGTAGAACATGAACTATAATCAACAGTTTATCACAAAGATTTTAACCCTGCAATGAATGAATCATAGAGAAAACAAGAACCAGTTGAACTGGGTGATGCTCCCCGAGAAGGTTTTGGATACAGGAAAGTATAAAAAAAATTAACAAAGGGCAAAAACTCCAAAATAAGGCAAGGCAGAGTTATGTTTTTTAACCAGGTTTTCCGAAGGAAAAAAACTGGTAATTAGATTGAGGTATGTCGGCAGGCGGACAGGCGGGCGTAAACAATTTCTTCTGTGCACCACTCCTCCTACATTTCTCAACAGATTTTGACCAAACTTTCACAGAACCTTTGTCATCAAGTGCCCTGGGGCATATTGTCGGGGTCTTGTGATTGGATAATATTTGACCTAGTTATGGCCCTTTGTTTTTTTTCCTTATGCAGAATATATAGTGAACAATTTCTTTTGTGCCCAACTCCTACATGTCATCAAGTGCTTTGGGGCATAATGTCAGGGTTTTGTGATTGTATAATATTTGACCTAATTATGGCCCTTTGTTTTTTTTCCTTATATTGTTTTTTTTCCTTATACAGAATATATAGTGAACAATTTCTTCTGTGCACCACTCCTCCTACATTTCTCAACGGATTTTGACCAAACTTTCACAGAAGCTTTGTTATCAAGTGCCCTGACGCATATTGTCGGGGTTTTGTGATTAGATAATATTTGACCTAGTTATGGCCTTTTGTTTTTTTTCCTTATACAGAATATATAGTGAACAATTTCTTCTGTACGCAACTCCTCCTACATTTCTCAACAGATTTTGTTCAAACTTTCACAGAAGCTTTGTCATCAAGTGTTTTTTTTTCCTTTTACAGAATATATAGTGAATTGTTCTTCTGTGTGCAATTCCTCCTACATTATTCATGATTTACATTGCACATAGTTACAATATGTTGCTTGTATTTGTATTTCAACTACAACATATTTATCTACAATGGTGATAATTGAAAAGCTGGTTTCGTGGCATTGCCATGTTTCTTGTTTTGCACTGCACTTCTATTCAATGAGACCTATCAACCTATACATTTTTCGTGATGATATCTCTTATAGTTTCAGAGTTATGTCCCAGCTAAAATTTGAAGTGTAAAAATAAACAAACGGAAATAACTCCAAAATTAGACAAGGCTGTGTTTAGGTTCTTAAGCATAGCAGTTCTATCCATTGAGATCTATCTACCTACAAAGTTTCATGTTGATATCTCTTATAGTTTTAGACTAATGTGTCAAAATGAACAAAAGGCAATTACACCAAAATTAGGCAAGACAGAGTTATGGTTCTTTAGCAATGCACTTCACCTCAATGAGATCTATCAACCTACAAAGTTTCATGTTGATACCTCTTGTTGTTTCAAAGTTATGTCCCGGACAAGAAAAGTGGACTGAAGGACGGACGAAAGTTCTAACAGGAGAGTAATAATGTGGCTACTCTACATTTGTATTGTTCTCTCTAGCCACACAAAAGAAAGTAGCCACATAAAAGCATTACGGAATGAATGGCATCAAAGAGAAAGAACAGTTACCTATTGTCCTCTAGCCACATAATTACTGTCCTGTGAGTGCGGACGGACAAGGCGGTGACTATATGCTCCCCCGAAATCAACTACAAATTATTTAGTATTTATCCCTCTAAATTTCCTTAATTTGAATTTGGAAGTGTCCAAATTTATTTCTTTTCAATTTGAAAATGTAATGTTTGAGCAGTGATTAGCGTATAACCAGGTCAGACATAATATGACTGTGTCTCATACTAATAGCTCTGATGCATCATTATCACTCAAGGTGCTTTCTTATTAAACTTCCTTAATATATTCTTTATCAGAATGAGCATCTTAATTCCAACTATAATCATATTTTCCATGTTAAAATACAAATAATACAGTAAACAAAGTTTTCTTTAGTATAAGGTGGGAATTGTTAAAATAAAGTAAATATTTATTACCAAGTTTCTACACAAAAATGAGTGCATATTTAGTTTATGCATGTAACATTTAGTTGAACACGAATTTTGCACATGATCTATCTAAATATAAAACATCATTTTAGTAATGTTATAAAATACTACCAGTGACAACAAAATTAGATGACCATTCTACCATAGGTAGATTTTTCTTCAAGCATTTATTTTGTAAATAGGGATTTGCTTTGATTTTAGAACATGCCCCTCATAAAAATTCAAAATTACTTAACCATACACTTTATTCTAAAATGTTCCTGGTCTCAGGCCAAACAATATACATTAAATGACATAATTCTGATTAACTATTTGACATGTATTTTAAGCCTGAAGTGAATATCTGTGATGGTTTTTGACAAAATCATGAAAATATAAAAAGGGAAATAACTGACCAAAACATTTTAAGGGTTATCTGCCTTTTAGAAATTCATTAGTGAACAAGTAAATGTATTTCAAGTTTGAAGTGAATATTTTAAGTAGTTTTTGAAAAAATTAGCAAACATGTTAATCAGGGCAAAAAATGCAAATGAAAAAAGGGACATAACTTTGCAAAATGTGACTTTTAAGATTTTTCTGCTCTTTGATATCACATATGATGATAGTGATATCAAAGAGCCAACCAAGTTCAAAGTGAATAGCTTTGGTAGTTTCTGAGAAAATTTACTCTAACCTATTACCTATCAATGGTCACAGTGACCTTGACCTTTTCTATTTGACCTCAAAATCAGTGTGACAGGTTAAACTCATCAAGGTGTATATACATAATTATGAAGTAATGGTTTTATTAATATTGAAGTTAACCCTTTCACTGCCCTATTATTTTCGGCGTATTTGCCATATGGATGGCTTTTGCCGTTTCTATAATAATAATATTAATAATGATAATAATAATATTGAATATATAGATAATTATACCATCGACAATAATTATTATCTACTAGCAGATTTTGAAATATATATAATTATTATAATACTAATAACAAATAATAATAATTATTTTAATTAATAATATAGTAATTTCTTAGAAAACCTTCTGGCAAATAGGTGATCAATAAATAAATAACCCTCTGGCAGCGAAAGGGTTAATGACCATAAACAAAAACCTAAACAAAAAGATTAACAAATGCCAACACGGTCTTGGAAAAGTGGAGCTATATTTAATTATTTTTTGTATAAAACAAGATTGCATTTGAGACAAGAACCGGTTGAACTGGGTGATGCTCCCCGAGAAGGTTCTGGACACAGGAAAGTATAAAAAAATGAACAAAGGGCAAAAACTCTAAAATTAGGCAAGGAGGAGTTATGTTTTTTTGCACTGCACTTCTATTCAATGAGATCTATCTATCTATAAAGTTTCCTGATGATATCAGAGTTATGTCCCTGGTAAAATTCAAAGTGTAAAAATGAACAAAGGGCAATAACTCCAAAATTAGACCAGGCTTTGTTTAGGTTCTTTAAGCATTGCAGTTCTATCCAATTATATCTAGCTACCTACAAAGTTTCATGTTGATATCTCTAATAGTTTTAAAGTTATGTCCCGGACAAAAGTCAAAAAGTAAAAATAAACAAAGGGCAATTACTTCAAAATAAGGCAAGGCAGAGTAATGATTCTTAAGCACTGCACTTCCATCCAATGAGACCTATCTATCTACAAAGTTTCATGTTCAGATATCTCTTATAATTTTAGAGTAATGTCCCAGACAAAGTTCAAAGTGTCAAAATGAACAAAGGGCAAAAACTCCAAAAGTAGGCAAGACAGTGTTACACTTCTTGTGCACTGCAAACCTACTTAATGAGATCTATCTACCTACAAAGTTTCATGTTGATACCTCTTATAGTTTTAGAGTTATGTCCTGGACAAAGTTCAAAGTGTGAAAATAAACAAAGGGGGATAATTAAAAAATTAGGCAAGGCAGAGTTATGGTTCTTGTGCACTGCACACCTACTCAATGAGATCTATCTACCTACAAAGTTTCATGTTGATACCTCTTATAGTTTTACAGTTATGTCCTGGACAAAGTTCAAAGTGTAAAAATAAACAAAGGGGAATAATTCAAAAATTAGGCAAGGCAGAGTTACGGTTCTTGTGCACTGCACACCTACTCAATGAGATCTATCTACCTACAAAGTTTCATGTTGACACCTCTTATACTTTTAGAGTTATGTCCCGGACAAAGTTCAAAGTGTAAAAATAAACAAAGGGGAATAATTCAAAAAATAGGCAAGGCAGAGTTACGGTTCTTGTGCACTGCACACCTACTCAATAAGATCTATCTACCTACAGAGTTTCATGTTGATACCTCTTGTTGTTTCAAAGTTATGTCCTGGACAAGAAAAGGG